CCAGCCCTGGCTTCTCAGTCACCCCACTGCGTCTCCCAGCCACAGTGCCAGGGGCAGAGATTACAGGCATGAGCCACTACACTCCTTCCAATATCCCAACGTGCTCTGGAAGAGTCCAGAACAGCCCAGTCTGGGTCCTCGGCCCCCAGGCCTCGGGCTGGACAGTGACCCCCCCCCCCCACAACAGGCCTTCACCATCATGGACCAGAACCGGGACGGCTTCATCGACAAGAACGACCTGAGGGACACGTTCGCCGCCCTGGGTGGGTCCCGTCCGTCTTTCTGTGGGGGGGGGCTGCGTGGGGGCAGAGCTGGGTCCCAGCCACCTCCCCTTCCCTCCTCTCCCCTCCCCTCCCGCAGGCCGCGTGAACGTGAAGAACGAGGAGATAGATGACATGATCAAGGAGGCGCCCGGCCCCATCAACTTCACCGTGTTCCTCACCATGTTCGGGGAGAAGCTCAAGGGTAAGGTGGGGGGCTGGGGGCATGGCCGCGGGCTGAGGCCTCTGCGCCTTGGGGAGCCCTGGCCCCGGCCCCCCAGACCCGTGACCCCCCTCCCATCCAGGGGCAGACCCCGAGGAGACCATCCTCAACGCGTTCAAGGTGTTCGACCCCGAGGGCAAGGGGGTGCTGAAGGCCGACTAGTGAGTGGCTGGGGGGCTGGGAGCCCCACTTTCCCGCCCCCCCTACACTGATTACAGCCCCCTCTTTTCCCCCCAGCGTCCGGGAGATGCTGACCACGCAGGCCGAGAGGTTCTCCAAGGAGGAGGTATGAGGCCGGTGCCTGCCAGGGCTCACACACGGGGAAACTGAGGCTAGGAAGTGAAGTCAGTGGTTGACCGGACGGGGGTGGTGGGGAGGCCCCAAAGTCCCCCTGGGCACCGAGGCAGGAGCTGCAGGGCAGGGAGTGGGACGAATGCCCCTGGTGTCCATGGAAAACACCCCCATGGCCCGCAGGGGCTCAGGTAAAAGCCGCCCCCACCTCCCACCAGACCTTAACTGCACATGCTCCCCTTGCCGTGCCTCAGTTTCCCTGTGTCCAGGCAGAGTCCTTGGAGGCTCCTATAAGCCAGGAGAGGGAGGGGGGGTGCCCGCAGCAGGCCAAGCCGCCCCCCCCAGCCTGGGCCACAGCCCCCTGCGCCTCCCTCCGCAGATCGACCAGATGTTCGCCGCCTTCCCCCCCGACGTGACGGGCAACCTGGACTACAAGAACCTGGTCCACATCATCACCCACGGCGAGGAGAAGGACTGAGCCCGCGCCCCCCCCATGCCCCCGTAACCCAGCCCCCACCCGCCCTCTGCACCCTCACCCTGCGCAGGCGGGGCTGATGCAAATAAACACGGTGGTCCGTGCGCGGCCTTCAGCCTTCGCGGCTTCCTGTGCGGCTCTCAGGCGCGGCGTTGAGTCCCCAGGACTCTTCACTAGCGAGAGGCCCTTGCTCCACGCGGGGCGCTTTCCAACAAGGGCCCCGTTTAACAGGACGGCTGGCCTCCTCGTAGTTTTCGTCTCCCCCTTCTGGGGCTCGGGGTGAGGAGGGGACCCTCCCGCAAATGCTGCATGCTCACTAAGCAAACGCTGAACCCCTGAAGCACAATTTAGGGAAAGCAGGTGCTGTACGTGCGCGTGTGCGTGTGTAAAGCTGGGTCGGGCCTTGGCTCCAATCCACTCTGACCCGAGCCGGCTACAACGGCAAGATCCCAAGGAAAGCAAGGGCTAGCCTGCGGGTTGGGGGCGCTGCACCATCCGGGGGGCGACTCCCCAGTTCTGCCTGGGTTCAGGGGGTGCCCGCAGCCCCAGCGGCTCCTGTCTTCTGTCCACGTGGCCATGGGGGGGAGGGGCACCTTGGCGTCAGAGCTGCCCTTGGGCCCTGAGCCTGGACAGCGCCACTCCCCTTGTGCAGGAGCTGGGGAGGCGACACCCCAAAGAGCAAGCAGGGAGGGGGACAGGGTCAGAGGACCCCAAACCCAAGGTTGGGGCGCAGCCGGAAGGAGCCGGTGCCAGAGCACCCTCCCCCCGCCCCGCCATGGCCACCTGCTCCCACGTGACTGCACACGGAGCGCGTGACAACACCGTGGGGTGGGCGCTGGTGGCTCACGCCTGGCATCCCAGCAACTCAGGAGGCCGGGCAGGAAAGCTGGCGAAACTCTTAGCTCCAAAGACCCAGCAAAAAGCCAGAGGTGGTGCTGTGGCTCAAATGGTAGAGCGCCAGCTTTGAATACAAAAGCTCAGGGACAGCTCCCAGGCTCGAGGGCACAGGAAGGAGGAGAAGGACGGGGTGGGTGGACCGAGTGTTTATTCCCAGCCTCAGAGGCCCCCCTTCTTGGCCTTGTCGTGGTCCCGCGTGTCCCGCCGGCCCTCGCGGCTGCTGCTGCTGTCCCGCATGCTGAAGCCACTCTCCAGCACCAGCTGCCGCAGCGCGCTGTGCTCCAGCGGCCGATCCACTGCAGGGCGGGGTGGGCCGGGATGGCGCAAGTGAGCACCGGAGCTGCCCCCCCCCCCCGCCCCCGGCACAGGCTGCCCAGCCGCATCTGCCAGGGCCTGGCCTGCCAGGTTGGCCGGCCCTGGGTCCGGACACCGTGATGCTCCCACAGAGCACATTTGACCCGGGCATCCTTTTTAGTGGCTGCATAAAACTCCACCAGGTACATTGCATGGGTGAAGGCGACTATCGTGGCCCACCATGGGGGGGCGTCGTGTCTCTTGTTCCTGGTTGGGGTCCTCTGCTGCCTCTCTGACCCCTGAGAAGCTTTTTGGAAGGATCTCCTTCAAGCCACAAGTGGCCACATCTGACTCCCTCCCCTGAAAAGAGCACGGCTGGCCTTGAACCTCAGGGTCACAACTGAACAGCTTCCATTCTGGGCTTAGGGGTCACAAGCAGGGCAAGGTGCAGGCTGGGCACCCAGAGGAGCAGGAGGAGGGCTCACAGGACGGAGGAAGAGAGGCTCCAGGGCCTGGGGTGACGGCTTGGCTTGCTTGCTCACAGCTGGCTCTCTACCACTTGAGCCATGCCCCAGTCTGGTGTTTTGCTGAAGTTCATTGGAGATAAGAGCCTCTCAAGACTGTTTTTTTGGCCCAGGATTGGCATTGAACTGCGATCCTCCAGATCTCCGCCTCCCGAGTAGCTGGGATGCCAGGCTGCGCCACCGCACCTGTCATCTGACTTGCTCACGAGGGGGAGAGGGAGTTTCACACCCCCCCGGGGACCTGTGCCCCCCATCATCAGTCCCCAGGCCACCACCACCACCAGTCAGAGACTGTGCTGGAGGACACTGCCTGCACAGCAAGAGGGGAAACTGAGGCCCGGTGTGCTGCGGGATCGAGACCCAGCAGCCCACCTGGGTGGCAAGGAGGAGCAGCTCACCTTCGTCCAGCTTCTCTATGAAGGGGTCGAAGCCCATCGCCGGGGGGGTCACCTTCACGGGCTCGGGGGGCTTGAGCAGTGCCGAGCCACCCCAGAAGGGGTTCACGAAGCCCCCGGGGACGTCTGCCCTCGGGGCGTACTTCGCCCGCCGCTGCGCCTCCAGCAGCAGCAGCTCGTTGGTTCTCTTCTCTATCATGGCTGCGGGAAGAGCGGTCCGCTGGGGAGAAGCAACACGGGCGGGGGACGCGTGGGGGACACACAGGCCCACGCCCCATCCCACCCCAGGCCTTGGCCTACAAGATCCCCACGCTTCTCCCTCCACCACCGCCAGGCGCGACCTGTGCTGTCGATTTTTCTAAAGCTTTCTGGGGTTTTTGGTCAGGATCAGCATTTGAACTCAGGGCCTCTTACTTGTCCAACTTGCTGACACAACTGACACTCTACCACCTGAGCCACACCTGCAGCCCAGCTTTTTACTGGTTAGTTGGAAAGGGGAGTCTCCGGGACTTTGTCTGCCTGGGCTGGCTTCAAGCCATAAATAACACTTGGTTGTCTCAGTGTCCTGGGTAGCCGGGATTACAGACGTGAGCTACTGTGCCCAGATTTGAACCCAGGCCTGCCCCACGCCCCCACCCCCACCCCGTCCTCCGTTCCGGTGGCTGGCAGTGGGGTGCTGGGCCTGGAGGGGCTCACCTAAGTACTTGGGGAGGTTGAGGTCGGAGATGGTGCCCCTCTCGCCCAGATGGCCCTGGATCTCGGTGTTGTCGCAGCCAATCCTCTGGAAGAGCTTCTCCAGGGAGCCCTTGAGTTGGCTCAGCATGCCGCTCAGCTCCCCTTGCCGGGCCTCGCACAGCTCCGCCTTCTCCGTGGCTACCTTCACCTTCTCCTGCGGGTCACGGGTCCCGCCTGGTCAGCCGGGAGGAGAGGGGGTCCCCACCAGGGGCTCCAGCACCCCAAGCTGCAGCAACACTCAATGCCTTTTACTTGGGAAGCAGGTCCCCCTTGGGGGCCCAGGGAGTGGGGTGCAGGGTGGGAAGAAAAAGGGATTCTCCTGCGTTGAGGTGTGGCTCAAACGGTACACACCATGACCCGGGTTCAAACCCACAAGCACCGGTGGGAGAGCGCTTGCCGAGCATGCATGAAGTCCTGGGTTCGATTCCCCAGTGCCACATGAACAGAAAACGCTGGAAGTGGCGCTGTGGCTCAAGTGGTAGAGTGTGAGCCTTGAGCAAAAGAAGCTCAGGGACAGCGCCCAGGCCCTGAGTTCAGGCTCCAGGACTGGCGATCATCATCATCATCATCATCATAATCTGGAAGTGGAGCAGCAGCTCACATGCTAGAGCACCAGCGCTGAGTGGGAAAGCTCAGGGACAGCACCTAGGCCGTGAGTTCAAGCCGCAGGCCCGGCGCACACATCACAGAAATACAAAGCAAAGACAAAGTCCACCGAGTATTTGTGGCACTTGGAAGGAGGCCCCACCCCATGGCAGTGCTGAGCCCCAGGGGTCCCCAGGCAGGGGGCTGAGTCCCCCCTGAGTCTTCCACCCCAACCCAGGGCAGCTGCCCCAGCATGGAGATGGGGGCAGGGAGAGGGGCCCCTGTGAGCTGAGCCCATGAGGCCTGTGGGAAATTCTAGTTCCTGACCAGCTGGCTGTGGTGTTCTGCTGCCCCCTTGTGGCCAGATAGAGGTGGCACTGCAGCCCCACTGTGATGCAGTAGAGGCTGTTGGCAGGGGATGGGGCAGCCAGACCCACAGACAGACATGCAGGCAGGCAGACAGACGGGTGGGGGGGCAGACAGGCGGGCAGACAGACAGACAGGCCGACAGGCAGGCAGAGAGATAGACAGGCAGGCAGACAGGTAGACATACAGACAGGCAGATAGGTAGACAGGCAGGCAGACAGGTAGACAGGCAGGCAGGCAGATATGCAAACAGACAGGTATGCAGACAGACAGACAGGCGGGCAGAAAGGCAGACAGACAGGCAGGCAGGTGGGCAGACAGGCAGGCAGGCAGGCAGGCAGGCAGGCAGACAGACAGGCAGGCAGGTGGGCAGACAGGCAGGCAGACAGGCAGGCAGGCAGGCAGACAGACAGGCAGGCAGACAGGCAGGCAGGCAGGCAGACATGCAAACATGCAAACAGTAGTCAGGCAGACAGGCAGGCAGGCAAGCAAGCAGGCAGACAGGCAGACAGGTAGATAAGATAGGCAAAGCAGACAGACAGACAGGCAGGCAGACAGGCGGACAGACAGACAGGCAGGCAGACAGACAGGCAGACAGGCGGACATCCAGACAGGCAGGCAGACAGATGGGCACACAGGCAGACAGGTAGGCAGGCAGACAGACAAGTAGACAGACGGACAGGCAGGCAAGCAGGCAGACAGGTAGATGGACAGGCAGGTAGACAGGCAGGCAGATAGGTAGACAGACAGGCAGACAGGCAGGTGGGCAGACAGGCAAACAGGCAGACAGGCAGACAGACAGACAGGCAGGCAGGCAGGCAGGCCGGCAGGCAGGCAGGCCGGCAGGCAGGCAGGTGGACAGAGAGACCCAGCTCACCTCCATCTGCTTCAGCGCCAGCTGGCTGTCATCCTGGTCTATCTGTTGCTGAGACCGCAGTTGGATGATGGCGTCCTACCCCGGAGAGAATCTCAGGGTGAGAAACAGAGTGCTCCTTCCCCATCCCCCAACACCCCACCTGACACCCTGCCCGCCAGACCCTCCCCCCCCACCCTACCTGACACCTGGCCTGACAGACACGCTGCCTACACCTCACCAACTGACAACCACCTGACACCCGCTGCGGCCACAGGGCCCTTTTGAGCAGCCCCAGGACCCTGGTCCTTGCTGGGCCCGCGGAGCTCCTGCGCTTCTTTATGAAAAGGGGTGCTGGCACTGTGTGTGGTGACTGTCTAGAATGAGACGGTTGGTAGGACTTTCTAACCTTCTGCCTGCCCTAAGACTGTGGGTACTGCTCAGTCTGGGGACCTGCTGTGTCCTCACCCCCCAATTCCTGTGGCCCCTGCCACCATGAGGCCTGGTGGGGTCTGTGGTCTTCCCGCCAGGTCCACACATCCTGCAATGCTGCACATGGCCACCAGAGGACAGAGGCTCAGCGCCTTGGCCTGAGGTGGCCAAGGGGACCTGGGAGAGAATCAAACTTAGGAGTTTGGGGTGAACTTGGAGCCCCACTCCTCCAGAGAACCTCATGGCCCACCAGGAACATGAGATGCTGTGGGGTCTGATGTTCTGTGGGAGGACACAAGGTCTGATTTTCCCGTGGAACACCTGATGTCTTGATACTTGTGAATACTAAGGTAAAGCCAGTGTTAGAACCCTGCAGGCTTTTAATTAATTAGTTTTTGCCTGTCCTGGGACTTGAACTCAGGGCCTGGACACTGATCCTGGGCTTCTTTTGCTCAAGGCTAGCACTCTACCATTTGAGCCACAGCACCACTTCCAGCTTTTTCTGTGTATGTGGTGCTGAGGAATCAAACCCAGGGCTTCATGCATGCTAGGCAAGTGCTCTACCACTGAGCCACATGCCTAGTCCAGGCTTTTAAACTGCAAACAATCCTTTCAAACCTGAGCCTTACTCTGAGCAGAGAGAATCGACGCTCGTACCCCATTCCACCCCACCCCTCCTCCGTCTGCTGGTGCCTGTCAAGGGTATCGGCCAGCCAGGAGCCACAGAACACAGAGGGGGCCCGACACGGGGAGGCCATGGCGAGACCTTGGGGAGAAAACACTGTAATGAAGACTTCCCGCTCCCCGGTGACCTCGGCCCTGCAGACCAGACGTTCTTATGGGGTGATCTTAGTGAGTACCCCAAGTTTAAAGATTAATCCTGGGGTCCTCAGCCTAGAGACAGATGTTGTCAGTTTTAATAAATAGTTTTTCCAACTCCCTGGTTAACCAGGGGCAGGAGGAGCCTAGCATCTGGGCCTCTGTTTTGGGGCCTCTGTATTGTGGCCTCTGTTTCATGTGTGTGCGGAGCTGTCCTCTCCACTGCACTTTGCAATGCCCTTGGGCCTCAGGAACGCCCTGGCGTCTCTGTGACGGGGACTGACCTTGCCCCTCAGGATCAGCGGTGCCCTGAGACCAGGTTACCCCAAATGAGGCCCTGCAGTGTGCAGGCTACCTCGACGGGGCCCGCGCCCCCCAGAAACGGGACTGCTCCCCTCGAGTGATGACGGCCATGACAACATCTCAGGGACCCCACCAACCAGAGCGAGGTGACCAGCCAGGCCGTCCTGTGCTGGGACCCTCCAACTCTGCACACCTTTGCCCCGGCCCCTACTTCCCCTCTACTGTGTGCCGTGAAGATGGCGGAGGGTGACTTGAGGTGCCACCTTCCACAGCCTCCAGCTCTCTCTGCCATACTTCCTTCCCTTCACTCTCCCCATGCTGCGTTTAGCCTGGCAGTGGAGGCCACTGGGAACCTCAATGTCCTCATGGTGGACACAGGCTGCGGGGCTCAGGGAGGGGAGGTCAGAGGCCGCTCAAGGTCAGTGGAAGGTCCAGGCCAGTCCTGTCTGGGTGCACAGGAGACGCGCCCAGGTGCCTGTCCTGCAGGCAGTGAAGAGCAGCGGGAGGGTCCCTGGAGGCCACGCCCAAATCATTACCCAATCCACCGCTGCCCGCCCACCTTGCTTTGGGCTGCCCTTATTGGCTCCCATGCTGTGGACTCCAGCACAAACGGCCAATAGATGCCAGCTTCCATATTTGGTCCAGCCAATGGGGAGCTGCCTTGTGTCTGGCTTCTGCTGAAACACAGCCAATGGGAGGCACAGTCTGGAGACTGGCAGGTGGGAGAAGGCAGTACTTACTTTCCACCTGGCAATTGCTATTGCTTGTTGCCCATCAATGGTTTTTCTCTAAATCTACCTGTTGGTTCTGTCATGCTGTGGGCCACGTCCACGCCTTCTTATGATGCCTGTCACCTTCAGTGAGAGACGCCACTCCCTCCCTGGCTCTCGGCATTCACATTGGCCTTCCTGATACTTATTAAAATGAGCTCACTGTACTTAGGGAAGTAAACTTAAACATCCTGTGTGCACACAGGAGATGGGGGAGTGAGGCGACATCTGTGTGCGGTCATGGGACACCAGGAGGCAAACAGGAAAGCCAGGACAGTGCAGGGGCGGGTGGGGCGGGGAGGGGGTCCACTGAGATCTCAGTGGCCACAAGACCCAGGCTGAATATGGGAGGGCTGAGGCATGGCACTAAGGACTGTTTACGTCCTGGGGACTAAGGAGTTACGTCGAGAAATTATGGGCTGCACAAAGGCTAGCAGGTTTGTTTCTTGCAGGACTTGTGAGGGCCCTTGCTCTGCTCTCACACACCAGGAGGACGGCCACCAGGGAGCAGACATGGAGGCTTCACGTGCTTCTCTTATACATTTCTCATCTTGTGGTGGTTCTTCCCCTTACCACCCTTTCAAAATACAAACAGCCATCCTTACCACCCTTTCAAAATACAAACAGCCATCGCTGGGCCCACCTGGATCTGCTGCGTCTTCTTCTGCACCATCTCCATGTCATTGTTGAGCTCCGTGAGGTAAGTGAACCGAGCGAAGTTCTTCTCCTCCTTGGCCATGAAGTCCTCGATGAGCTGGTTGAGGTCTCCATTCGAGGTGAACTTGAGCAGGCGCAGGTGCGCCACCTCGTAGCTCTCGAAGCTCTCGCCCTTGCTCTGCTTGCCGTGCTTCCTGATCTTGAGAGCTGCGAAGGTCAGAGAGCGGCGTGGACGTGGACAGGGTGGACTGGCGGGGCATGGGCGGGGCAAAGAGGCGGCAGGTGCCCCCTGCTGCCTGATGGCCCAGCCTGGGCTGAAGCTGGATTTTCCCAGATCAGGTTTTTCTGCTTTACCGAGACCCAACTCCACAGCTCCTGTGCGCCAGGCACCGGGCTGGGCTAGGTAGGCACCAGGTCTCTGCCCGCAGAGGGCCCGGGACAAGGACAGAAAGGAGGAAATCTTCCTCTGACCATGGTGGCCCGAAGGCACGCTGGGTGCTGGGGTGTGGCCTTAGCTGTGTGGCTGTGGTTGGGGACAGTGGTCAGGACAGGGCAGTGCGCACGGCTGAGGAAGGTGCAGGGAACACAGTTCTGAAGAAGGCTCAGCGCTCGGCCAGTGCAAGACATCCCAACCAGAAAGTTCTCCTTGTTCTCTCTCTAGCCTAGAAACCTGAGGTCACCCAGGTTCTTCTAAACCCAGTCTCGTTCTCTTTGACTTGACCACCACAGGGCCATCAGAAGGAACGTTCTAGGTCCTTCTAGGCATAGCCATGGAACCCCCTTTACATGTGTCACAGGTTCTCAGCACCACACTGGGCTCTTCATGGGATGCCCACCTTGTGGTCTATAGGCCATACGGAAACCACACGTGACGAGCACTGACAACAGGCAGGGGAGGCTGAGGGGTGGCTGGCAGGAGGAAGGACGGGTGGACCTATGGTTGAGCCGGTGGATGAGTGAGTGGGTGGATGGTTAGATGGACTGACAGAGGGTCCAAAAGCTATAAAAGCGTTGGTCGTTTCTTTGTTAATTTTTGTGGGGAAAACATAAGGTTTCTCAGAAACACTTGTAGCGATGCAGTCCCAAGTGAGAAGACAAGAAAAGGCGAAAGAAACCCAAAGAATCAGCGCTGGTGGCTCAAGCCTGTAAGCCTAGCTACTCAGGAGGCTGAGATCTGAGGATCATGGTTCAAATCCAGCCCGGGCAGAAAAGTCTGAGGGATTCTTATCTCCAGTAAACCACCAGAAAACCAGAAATGGAGTTGTGGCTCAAGTGGTAGAGCGCTCGGCTTGAGTGAAAGAAACTCAGGGACAGCACAACAGGTCCCACGTTCAAGCCCCATAACCAACCAAAAACAAAAACAAAAAAATCCTCATAGAGTTCTGAAGCGTGGCTCAGTGGTAGAATGGATAAAATGCAAAGCATGCACAAGGTTTGTTATTTTTGGTGGCTGTGGGGCTTGAACTCAAAGCCTGGGCGCTGTGCCTAAGCTTTTTTGCTAGAGGCTGGTGCTCTACCCACAGCTCCACTTCTGTTTTTTTTGGTGGCAAATTAGAAATAAGAATCTCACGGACTGGGGCTGGGAAGATGGCTCAGTGGTAGAGCGCTTGCCTTGCATGCCTGAGACCCTGGGTTCGATTCCTCAGCACCACATAAGCAAAAAGAAAAAAGCCGGAAGTGGCGCTGTGGCTCAAGTGGTAGAGCGCTAGCCTTGAGCTGAAGAGC